CAAGCTATCACTGCGTCAACTTGATGAAAAAATATATAAACAGCATTGCTTAACTGAAGAATCACGATAATAAATCACAGTGCATTAAGTGCCCACCATAGTCTTAAGACCTGTGTTTAACGTGCCCAAGCCCATACTTTTGAGAGCACCATGTGAGCACCTGTGTGTGTACACGCGCTTGTTTATTTAAGGTTTCTCTATAGGAGCATCCAACAGAGAGTGTGAGGGACCACAGATCCGCCCCCCAAAGATGCGCAGGAGACGGGGGGAGCTCCAAGTCCCAGAGATCCAGGCGCTGCCCCAGAACACAGGAACCCCAAGGAGACTGCAACCAGAAAGGCCCCCGCCCCCCTCGAGGGGTGTGGTTGTTAAAATGACGCAAAATGACGCAACTTTTCCGCGCAGAGCCGTGCGGACCTCGCGGACACGTCAAGCATAAACCAACCTTAAGTGTCTCCTCAGCGGATTTGTGATGAAAACTTATGGAGCTAGGATTGGGACAATATTCAATGTAACTTGTAACAAGTTTTGTAACTTGGAACATGTTTCATGACACGTAACTTTGGATTCGTAACTTGTAACTTTAGTTTTCTAACTTGTAAATCTCAATTTGTACTTGTATTTCTTGTTTTGTAACAGGAAAATTTCATTTTGTACATGTATTTTTTATTTTGTAAATTCAAACTTTTATTTTGTACATTTACTACTCATTTTGTAACATCAAACATTCATTCAGAAACATGAAACTTTCGGTTTTTACCCAGCAGACTTCCAAAAAAAAAATCAATGTACATTTTTGAAATAAAAACTCTCAAAACACAAATTTCATTCTACAGGTACAAACCTCAAATCTACAGTTACGGATCTTTTTGTCTCAATTCTAGCGTCGGTAGGAGGAGCTTGGGTGGAACCAGTGAGAGCACGAGTCTTAGCTACCAATCACATTTCTCGAATTCCTGTCCCATCACTGGGAGAGGAGGGCAGGGTTCTGTCAGAGCTGTAGAGAGAGTTGCGACACTCCAATAGACTCCTATGGAATGCGGGAGTCGCGTGGTTCATGTAGCTTCGAATAGTTCCAAACAGCCCCCGCTGCTGCATTGACCGTAGTTCATTTTCGGTGTTTCGTAAGGATTTTCTCTGGTAAGTTGATGAAATGTCATCATTTTGTTGCATTGTGAAGCGTTAGCTAACCGCTTCGTACCAAAATAAGCCAACGATGATATTTTATGTTGCCAATTTTAGCTAGATAACCTTTAATGAGCTAACTGTGTGCAGCTTGTTGATTGTGAGCAGGAGGACGAGCTGCAGACGGGTTTATTTGTTTGTTTGATTCTACGTTTTAAAAATATTCCCCACAGTTTGAAATAGGTTATAAACTTTTGACATTATTAGTTTTATTTGGGATTTCTTTGTACAATACGTTGCTGGTTACAAAACTTGTTACAAGTTACATTGAATATTGTCCCAATCCTAGCTCCATAAAAACTCCGGCAAATCATACCAACGTTTTCCATAATCCGAGAGCTCTTACAGGCTTTCAACAACCTTAATTTGTTCTTCAATAAAGACTTGAAGCTTCTCTCTAAACCTCCTCTTGTCTTTGGACGTTGACGTGTTTATATATGAAGGATTTTGTCTATGAACTCTCCTAAAATTGTACGTCGCGTATTGATAGCAGCTTGTTTTTGCCACCCAGCCACTCTCGCACAAAGATGAAAAAAGATGTCAACAAAGATCCTCCTATAGATTTCTTCAAGTTAAATTGGAGTATTTTTAAAGGGCTTTTATACCCCAAAGTATAAGTTTGTCTATTGCCATATTCCCAAGTGGAAACAAACACTTTTTAATAGGGCTGCATGATATTAGGAAAACCTGCGATATGCGATAACAGTGATTAATATTGCGATGACGATATTACTTGAGATGAATAAAAACTTACCTCAGGAACAAAAATAATCAAAAACGAAGAAATGGAAAAAAAATTACAAATAAATATCATAAAAATGTGAAAAGATGTGAGGAAAGGGGAAAAGAAAATGAACAGGAAAAGGGAATCAGTGGATCTCGGGAAAAGCAGAATCAACAGAAAGAGCAGAACAAAGCTAACTCAGGTGTTTGCTAATCATGAAAATTAAGTGTCGTCCGCCTCGGGGGCGAGTATCTAACCTATGAGAACCCACCCAATTGGACAAACAGGGGAAGAGCTCGAGTTGATTTGTTAAAAAAAGATCATGCTTCCGTTTGATTGACAGAATGCATTATGTGTATCAAACATCGGAGCTGACCATTCATTACGATATTATCTTTTCTTTGCGATATGCGTATTGTGCATGCTAATATCGCGATAACGATATATTTGCAATATATTGTGCAGCCCTACTTTTTAACCAACCCAGTCATTTTCCTGATCTGGCAGTACTCCTTCGGCTTTAGCTTGGCATTAAACAATGTGAGTGAATGGTACCAACTAGCCTTGAGTTTAAACATTACTCAGCGGTGATTCTAATTCTGTTTGGTGACCTGCAAGTGAAAATAATAATGCTAATATGTTAATAATAATGTTTTATTCTGTTGAAGTTCAGCGTAATTGAATCGAGTTGGAGGACCAGGAGAGTGTGATGTATAATGTGGCATTCCATGACCAGAAGAAGCGTTGTTTTTTACAGTGCTCTGGGAAGACAGCCCTGTGAATGATGTCATTGGAGGGATTTCTGCAGTTTTTTCCAGTGTTGGGAGTTTAGTAACAGTGATTTTAAAGCAGCAGGAACACTGCTTAATTAATTTTCCTTCCATTCTGCTTCACCAGCAACTCTTCTAATTTTACAGAAACTGGTTGTTTTGGGCAACATTTGCTGATGTCATTTCCTGCTGAGTTTCAGCCAATCAGTGTAAGGTAACCAAAAGTTCCACTCAGCTACTCTACCAGGCCTTTCCCAGTACCTACTCCTGTTCAGGTCCTGGGGTGGTTCCTGAAAACGGTGATGTTCACACACATGCCGGGAAGTTCCGGTAAACTCACCCTGAAGTTCTGAGAGTGGAAACACACCTAATGGGAATACATGTGTGAGGAGCCTAAACTAAGAGGTTTTTTTTACAGAGGGGTTACATTAGCACAGGGAAAAACTAAATTTTCTGTAAAAACTAAAAGTGTATTTAACACTGAAACCTTATTTCCATCCCTACAACATACATTTTACATAACATAGAAATGTTTAAAAAAAACATTCTCTGTAGACTGGACAAACCCCAGCACTGCTCTGAAAAGCAGTTTCAGTTATGCTTTGTAGCTCTTTCATAGTAACAACAGTTAAATCGTGATGTCAAGTTGTTGTTGTTATTGTTGTTGTTAGCCTCAAGGGCAACATGCCGATTATCACTTGTGAGTCGCTTTGGACAAAAGCGTCTGCTAAATATGTAAACATAAATCAGACCACACCTCGGTGGTAGTACTGCAGATAAAACCCAGTACTACCAGTGTTCCCACAGGTGTTGTCAGCTTTCTGTTGAAACCGTAACGAGTCATGCTGCACTACGCCGATCATCTCCACTGAGAATGTTTCTGCTACTTTAACAGAAAGACCTCAGCCGCTTTGAACTCTCAACACAAAATGAAACTATTGGATTCTTAGACACATCATTAGCTAGAACATTGCCGACTACCAAAGGACAATAAATAATGTGAGGAGATGAAACATATGTGAGAGGCTGCCTCATTAGAGTAGAAGAAGGATCAGTAACCTGTGAGCTGGAAATTTGTAGATTCAAAGATTAACACAGGCTCTGTTTCCTCCTCCTTTTCCCTTCTAGGGTTTTGCACGAGCTCTAAAATCTTACAGCTTTGATATGTTTTTGTTTTGTAAGAGTTAAAGTGGATTTATGATGGCTTTGTTAGGCAAATAAAGCACAGTTCCTAATTCTATCATCCATCAAAATGTCAGATCATGTTAAGTTTTCAGAGTAGTGGATTTTTCCCCTTTCAGAAGCCTGAAATAGAAAAATCAGACACAAACGTCACTGGTAAACCAAGGGCCCTGAAAAAGAATGAAAAGTGAGCAGATGAAGGACAGAAGATGAAAAGGCTTTGGTTGGCTGAAAAGACAATGGGTGGGCTGGTAAACCACCGAAAGGAGAAGATGAAAGGAGAGAGAGCTGGAGGTCCAGTTTGAAATTATTATTTTACCAGCAGCAACATTTCATCCAAACTCTGCTTAAGGGTAGAGATTACAATGGAGGGAGGAGGGGGTGGTGGGTTAGGGAGAGAGAAAGAGAGAGGGAGGGAGATAGGTAGAGGGAGGGAGAGGGAAGGAGGGAGGGAGAGAGAGAGAGAGCTTTGCATGTATGTGTGTACTCATCTATACATCGAACTGAGGACATTTTGCTGGTCCTCACTTTGGTACGATGTTACAGAGCTCTACTAGTTAGTTTTAGAGGTCTGGTGTGAATTAAGTTTTAGCTTAGGTTAGAAAGAAAGAAAGAAAGAAAGAAAGAAAGAAAGAAAGAAAGAAAGAAAGAAAGAAAGAAAGAAAGAAAGAAAGAAAGAAAGAAAGAAAGAAAGAAAGAAAGAAAGAAAGAAAGAAAGAAAGAAAGAAAGAAAGAAAGAAAGAAAGAAAGAAAGAAAGAAAGAAAGAAAGAAAGAAAGAAAGAAAGAAAGAAAGAAAGAAAGAAAGAAAGAAAGAAAGAAAGAAAGAAAGAAAGAAAGAAAGAAAGAAAGAAAGAAAGAAAGAAAGAAAGAAAGAAAGAAAGAAAGAAAGAAAGAAAGAAAGAAAGAAAGAAAGAAAGAAAGAAAGAAAGAAAGAAAGAAAGAACCTCTCAAGATAAAAATCAGGAGGCGCTTCACAAAAACATAAAGGAAAACTATCCAGTCACTAAAATGAATGGAAGTCAAAGACGGTCCTCACAACGAATACAAGACACAAGCATGTGTACAATTGGGTGTGTGTGTGTCTGCGCATGAGTGTGTGTGTGTGAGTGTACCTAGTTTATTCCATGCATGGGGTTACCTTGCGTTTGGCAGTCAGCTGTTCCTTGTAGCGGTCAGAAGAATCTCCGGGGATTTCACTGGCCCAGAGACTGAGTCCTACCACCAGGTAGGCACAGCCCATCACCAGTAAAGGAAGGAAGTAGATCAGGATGGCCACACACACATAGTACCTGCAAACACACACGTACCACGATAAAGAAGGATCATGCCGCTGGAGTGTAACTAGGTGACCTTTAACCTGTTGCTGACATGATGCATCTACTACAGAGTAAGTACAGTGTAATTTATTAATAAAGCAGGTACCAAAGTAATACCACTTCATTAATACTAACTGTACCTTTTCATTTTCAGTCTGATAGAGTGGTGTCTGGGTGTGTGGTGGTTTTTCACTCAATGGACAAAAGCATCCTCAGATACTTAAGTCCAACAATAAACCTGAGGAACTGCAGATGTTTGCTAACATCTTGAGGTTAATCGTGATCAGACTTCTCTGTTTCCTCACACACCTGTAACAATCCTTCAGAGGCTCACGATTTTGCATCAGCACAAGCAAGTTGTCAAAGTTCAGTTTAAGCCAAATAAATGAGATTATTTCTCCTGTTTGCGTTAAAGGCAAAGGCAGAGTCAGCATTTCTAAAGAACACTTTGGCAGTTTTGAACCTTTTCTGTAAAAATGAAGTCTCTATAGTAATTTTATTTCTTTAACAAGCTGCCACTTTGCTGCTGTGTTGATTTCAGCTTAATCTCCTTCCTGTAGATGACACGGATTACAAAGCAAGTGAACCTGGACACCCGCGGTGGTGAGCTTGACACGAAATGTTTGTTTGGAGGTCATTGGACTTTTCCTAATTATATGCCTTAAAAAAAATCTGTTTACCAGTGAGTTCACCCTTCACTATCTTAGTGCCCTTCAGTTTACTTCATACGTAGTACAAGCATACTGATGTCTACTCAGTGTTTCCCCTAGGAATTTTTCCAGCTGTGGTGGTGGTTGGGGGGGGGGGGGGGGGGGGGGGATTATGACACATCTCACCTTTATGTTAATATTGTTTTATTTGATGCACTCCACTTTGAACTGCACCAATCCAGCAGCTGCTGCATTTTCATAACTAGTATTAAAGGTGAATACACCAATATTTGCACAAAAAATAATTTTTGTTTTAAATTCTCAGTGACAACAGAGTAGTTCCCGCTGCTTCTTCGGGAATCGGCGCAAAGAAAAAAAAAATTGGGATCTTGTAGGCGTGGCGGGCCGCCACGGCTACGCCTATGTAAGGGAAACACTGCTACTTGCATCAGCTGAGCACAGACTGGATCAGTCCTTCTGTGTGATTTGGGAAAAGCCTTCACAACTCTTCTTCAATAACTGTCAACCAAATTAAAATCCTCTATGGAATAATTCAATTTGACAGTTTAAGTAGTTAGCAAATGATGTGCATATCTGTCATGGACACAGTGTTTGATCCTCCACTTCCCTGTGATAGTGTGAACTGTCCTGGGATGTGCTTTGATACAATTGCATCATCTCATTTAGAGCCAGCGCTGGACTGACCATAGGGCATAGCGGGCAACTGCCCGCTGGGCCGACCCTTTCATCCTTTATGGGCCGGTGTCTGTTTTTTTTTTTTTTTTTTTTTTCTCCTGGCCTCTAGTTGTTAAGGACAACTTGTCCGCGCCGCCCCACGCGACGCCTCGTAAAAGTTGGTGGATTGGCCAATTGGTCATAATACACTCTGGGCTGGACCAATAGCCAGAGGTCTGATGCACCCGCCAGTTGTTTGTGAATCTCAGTAAACAGACAGACGAGCTTTACAAATGGAGAACAAAAAACGGAAAGGAGGAGCGGAGAAAATTCGACTAAAAAAGAAACTGGCCCTTCAGGCTGATGCTGGCACATGTGTTAAAATCTCACAGTTGTTTGGTAGTGAAGGTTCAAGTAAAATCAATTTAGGAAGTGATGGAGCCTCAGCCCAGCGACAGGTTGGAGAAGAAAAGAGGGAGGAGGAAGAGAAACCCGAGCCGGTGTTGTGCCATAAATTGACTCGCTGCCAAAAAATGATTAGCCACCGCGGGATCGCGCACGGTTAGGTAATTGCATATCTAGACAAAATTCCCCAGGATTTCGCCCTAAAACTCAGCATATCTAGCAATAAGGACATTCAGAAAGCAAAGATAACCTCTTCCGGTACTTAAATAGATGTTTATCGCGGATATTAGTGTGGCAGTGTTTGTGGCACCCTGCGCGGGAGCACGAGGACGTGCTTGTGGAAAGAGTGAGGAAGATGTGGCAGTGTGAGCATCCACAATGTCCCGATTGATCATGCGCCCTGGCTACTTGGCCAAGGAGATGTTCCTTTGGCTGACTGGTAAGAGCGTATGACTCTCACCCGGGAGTCTGGGGATCGAATCCCGCCCGGGCACTTGTTTCTCCACCTTGCCACATTAGTTTTTCCAGTTCGGAAGTTGTTTTAAGTGTTGCTATTTGTCTTAAACGTTCACAATGAGGATATATTAATCCTTTTTGCAATATTTGCGATTGAAAGATGGTTTGTGCCACAAACTTTGTGGTAAGAACTGGCTTTCTTTATGTTACAGCCTTGATACTAAAAAAATAAATAAACAATGTAAAATGGCACCCTGTATTGAATGTAAACGTTGTATAAATGGAATTAAACAATTCTCCAGCGATTTAATTTTTTCCCCTTCCTTTCTTTAGTCCACTTGACATGGAGCCACAGTTAACTAGTTTGGGGCACATTTTACTTGAAAAAAAGTATTTAAAATGATCAAGCTTTGGCTTTAATGACACTGTGTAAGTTGCTATACATTACGTTGCTCTATTTAAAAGTAACAAGATAAAAGCAGCACTTCAGCACATAAAATTAAGATTGTCACTTGCCAAATAGACTACACCCTCCCGTTTACCTATAAGAAATGCCTCAAAATATCTTTAAATTCTTTATTGATGATTTAATTGTAGACAACTAAAATGGCATTTTACTTGCCAAAAAGTGATTGAATTGCTAAGATTTTCATGGAGGCTAAAATTGACCAAATAAGGGTTTTATGTATTATCTGTTGATGTTACTGTACTCATACTGTCTACTGTATCATCATAAACACCCCAAAAATGGCAACAAAAAAAAAGAAGATAATTTCCATTGCTAAAAATTGATTACAGTGTCCTGGTCACCTGTAAAGGGTTACATTTACATAAATATTACTTTATTTATTATCTCTTGATGTTATTAGTGCCATCACAGGATGCTGGGTGTCTTTCACATTCATAAACACCTCAAAAATGGCAACAAATGATCATTTCCCTTGCCATAAATTGATTACAGTGTCCTGGTCACGTGTAAAGGGTTAAATTGACCTAAATATTACCTTATTTATTATGATGCTGGGTGTGATCCACAATCATATTCGAATAAACATGAAAATATTCCGTCCGAATATCTGTTTCTTGTTATAAATATAACAGCTAGAAGGATTTACAGTTAAAATAGGAGAAACACGTGACTCCCCAGGAAGGGTCGTAACACCACTTGCCTCATGCACATAAGTGAACAAAACAAAGCAGCATGGAGACACTCCGTCTCCAACCACCTCTCAGGCAGCAGCCTGCACTCTCAAGTTCTACACGTCACCAGAACATAAACAACCGCAACACAATAAAAGCAGTGTTATACAAAATGGAAGGCCTGTAGTGTTTATTCTCTTACAGTAACAACTTATCAACTTTTTGGAGGAATTTATTTGAGAATTTTTTGGTTTTTAGTAATTGTGCAATAGAAAAGTAATCGCTAGATTAATCATCTAAATAATCATTAGAATAGTCGACTATTCGATAAAATAATCATCAGAATAATCGTTTTAAAAATAATCAGTTACCCCCAACCTTACTTTTTAGAATACCAGGATAGGAAGGATGGTGTAGGTTTACGTTTATTAGATTGATACATAAATACTACCAATAAGAAAGTGTACGTTGGTGTGTGTCAGAAACAGCGTAAGGCTTAATGTCTTTTCCAAAAAAAACAGGTGATGGGCCGGTCTCCAGTCAAAATGCCCGGGCTGAATTTTTGTCCCAGTCCAGCCCTGTTTAGAGCTGTGGAAAAAGTATGTGTTCAGATAGTAAAGAGCCTCAGACATCTTCGGGGAAACAACCCCTGAAAGGATGCATTGGCTGTTGCCATGGCAATTTCCCACAATTACCTTAATACTATAGATTAAGACTATGAAGCACAGAGGAAATCAAAATAGTAACAAACACCTAAAAAGAAAGATCCATGACCCAATCAAAGTGAAACGTACAGAGTTGTTCATAAAAAGTATTAGAGATCATACTATAATTAGGTATCAGGCATGAAGCATCGGAATCATCAGGAAATGTGAAAATATGTCTAAATATTGTAATGACTAATTAAGGGTTACAGTGAGAGCTGTGCTAGCCTAATGCTGCTGCTGCTGTCAGAGACGTGGTGGCGGATTAAGAGTGATGGTGAAATGGGTTTATATCAGCTGCATGTTGGACCACTCAAATAAACCACTGTTCAGGGCAAAATGCCCTTCTGTCTGGAGTTTATTCTGCACAAATGTCACAATAATAAGACATTATCTGAGGTCAGCTTGTGTTTGTAAACCAGCTGCTTAAAACTTCAAATGAATCAAGATAAATTAAAATGCTCAGAAGTACTAGCCTGGCCTGCCAGACTCCTCTGTTTAAATCTGCACAGAGAAAGAGTCTGGGAACTCTCCTATTTAAATAACCCTGCCCCCTAAACTCCAACTGTACCTCACACACCAAAACGTCAAGTTTCTCATAAAAAATGAAGTCGGCATTTCCGTCTTTTTTCTGATTGGTTATTTTTGAGCTGGCTAGTCCCGCCCCTCATGTACCTCTCTGCCTGTGAGTAACCAGTCTCATTCTCTGTGCAGAATTAAACAGAGGACGGCTCTGGCAGGCCAGGCTACAGAAGCAGCGCCCCTGCAGGCAGCAGCGAGACCAGCTAAGTCTTTGTGGATTATTAAACATGTCTGTCACAGACAGAGCTAATTTTTGGCAGTCTGCAGTTTGTGGTTTTCAGGAAGTTAATTCTATTATGAGCGATTATTTTTCGCCAGACAATAATAAAACACGCTGATAATGTCTGACTGTCTTACGTGA